TTCGAATTACGGTACTTTAATTGAGTTATGCCAGTGAGGATGATGGAACGTAGGAATTTTAGAACGGTGGATAGGTGGATCAGTGGAATGGCAGAATATCTTAATTAAGACGTGGAATGACGGAATATCTTAAAACATGGAATGCGTTTTTGCATAAAAAAAAAGTCTAAAAACATAGAAATGCAATAAAACAGGAAAAGTATTTATCATTTCCCAGGCGAAATTAAAAGAAGCATAACAGATAATTACTTATTGTTGGAGCTTAGTAGGAGAACCATGAGGCTTTCGAGCTAACCTCTCTTTAAATCATCATTAGATTACTACTGTTATCATTATTATCATTGCTAATATCATCATGTGAAGCCATTTAATCACTGCTTGAATTTCAATTAGACAATATATTCATGAATCATCTTATTCTTGTAGAGCAGGGTACTCGTAAATATGTAGGATGCAGCAGATTTTCTGTTTGGCATTTGAGACTCTGTGACAGTATCTTCCAGCGTCATTATACAACCTCTAGTTCGTTTTTAATGCTATAGAAAATTTGTTATATCAGTAACCACATGCAGTCTTTGCCTGTCTATTTTTAGAACTTCCTTTCGCTCAGCTTCATGATGGAAGAATGAGACAGCCTCCTTAACGTGGTCATTAATCCGAGAAATAAGCATGGATGGAACACCGCCTCCTAACCGCCTCCCTGTTAGCTCAATGGATAGAGCGCGGGACTGTAGTGCGGGAGGTCGAGGGTTCGAGCCCCGGCCGGACCAACACTCAAGGTCTTAAAATAATTGAGAAGAATTTGCTACCTTTCTATAACATCAAGAAATGGTTAGATATTCTAGTCTTCTCGGATAGGGACGAATAAATGGAGGTCCCGTCTCCTGCAGGGTTGGGTTAGGACAGCAGGTCTACATCAGCTATTACAGCTGCCAATTAATCAACTTGCTTAAACAAAAAAATGAACTTCAACTTCAACACGGCACTCCTTCCATCCGTCCTTTCTTCGATTCCTGAACCAGTGTATAAAATGATGGCAGTCGCATGCGTCTAAATCGGGTATAGAAACCAATGGCCTTCGCAGAAAGCAGAAAGGAGTTGTTTAAATTGACTTAATCAAAGGAAACAAACAAACAAAACTTTCATGAGACTCTTTACAGATGGCTCAAAACGCTGTTAGTCGTTCATTGTTGTATAACTGGTCGAAGGAGTCTGAAATCCAAGTATGCTGAAAGAACAGTTTCGAACTTAGACACTTGCAAATTCTATAGGAAAATTCATTACTTGACGAGGGAATTCCGCATTAAGTTGCACGCGAAAACCGATATGGCACGAATCGCGAAGCGATGAGTGTGATATCGGTTTTCAAGTGCAATTTAATGCGGAATTCACGAGTGAAGTAATGGATTTTCTTTGAATCGCATAACTGAATAAAAATGAGAAAAAAAAGGCAACAGCATTACATAAAATTGTTATATTTACGTAGATGCGAAACAATATCACTTAGCTTCGTTTTCAACTCGCTAAATACCTCCCTTCGTTAACCAAGCAGAACGCGAGATTTTATTCAATGATGCGATTCTGTATTAAACTTATTGTACTCTCTTCGAAGAAGAAAAACAAACGCTTCAACTGAATTAGATTAAAATACATCCAGTCATAAAACATAGCCTTTTTCAAAAGGGTCAAAGCATCATGAGATCGTCTATATAAAAAGGAAAAAAAACCCGATATTATGCCAACTTTTGGATGAGAGTTTAGTTACAAAGGAAACTGTCTCAAGTAGACAACGTGGTTTTTATGGGGCACCTACAGGGTAGCTTTCAACTTTTGCTAAAAAGCAAAGCACATGTGAAATCGTGCTAAGAGATTGTGGTGAGTTTGAATAGAAAAATGAAATATTTTTAAACAGTAATATGTCAGAGTAAACATTTGGGAGGGGTTAGCATCTTGCAATTACTTCTAAAGCCACCTTCTCCTAAAACGATGTTAATTTTGTGCGTAAACCAAAAAAATAACTTAAGTCTCAGATGAGATAATATATAAGTAATAGTTTTAGTTTTTATCTAATTATGTATGCAATTCTAAAAGGGAAGGTTTTAGATGCTACTCGTCTTTGCAAAAGTTTTGACAGAAATTTGAGGAGCTTGGCACATTCGATGCACATTTCAGCCAGCATTTAGAGCGCTGATCAATCACTGTTCTCGGTGTCTTGAAAGCAGCAACCACTGTACCATACCTTTGACAGGATTCTGGCTTTAGGCTGTTTAATAATTTTTAGAATCATGCCAGCGGTATTTTCCAAAAGAGGCATACTCTTTGATAATCTCAATACCATGCTTAATGCATCAACGCATTGGAACTTCCTTCATGTTTCACTGTCATGGTTAAGAAAATGATTTTCTTTGATCAGACAATTTTATATTCTTGACCAAACAAAGTGCCATATGTCTGCTGTTCTTCCACGACGAGTGGTGCAATAATAGGTATGACGCTTTCTCTAAAGATCTCTGCCTTGTTCGTCATCCTCAAGTGAGAAATAACACTTAATTTACTCACGGCAACTGTTCGTAATCATTTTCAGCTGTACTCACTGGACTTTACAAATACTGAGTAATTCTTGGCAGTGGAGCTCTAACTTACTACAAACCAGTCACACAGACAAATGTCGATCTTTCTTTCTTCTTAAAAGTAATAAGATTTTGCAAACAAAAGATAAAATATCCTTATCGCGTCTTATCTAGCTACATTGTTGCATTGTAAACGGTTACTTTTTTTAAGTACTTAGAAGTGGAGACGTGATATCTAGTAGCATTTGCCAGTGTCATTGATGATGATATTGTTCTATTGTTGTACGCAGTAAATCTATTTTCGATTTTAGTTGGCTATAGATACTAGTTGGTTTGTGTGAGATGTTAAAATGGCTGCCCAGTATCGGTCTAGAGCCCTTGGTGGCCTCTTTAACCAAAATTAATGCAATTCAAAAATACCAGTAAGACGTTAAATATATTCCCGTGTGGTTTAATTGATATTGATTCAGGCCCAGGCCTTAGCAGTCTCATTTGTCACAAGAAACGAAGACTGCTTGAAAGGACAACGGGACACGTTATTGCTTCTTTGCTCTCGATAATTTTTCATCGATAAATATAAAGCGCTACCGTATTTAAAGCCCTAAATGATCTTTTAAGTAAGCTTTCATCTCGTCCACGTGATCAGCCTAAATTTGAAGTCAGGATAATCAAATACGTAAATTATTTTTTTCCTCATGCATACCTATCCAAATAAGTTTCGAGACGAAACTTGCCTTGGCATTGGGCAAGAGATTATATTATTCATTGGGTGAATAGCAGAGCAGCTGTATAATCACAGAACCTCAGCGAAATTATATGGCTGCCTTCCAAGCGTCTCGATTCCTGTTAGTAAAAGCACATAGCTATCTGGTATCACCGTATTCGAAAAGTTCCTTTTCTTGTCACCCAGGCCACATATATCCTTTAGGGACTTCAGGAAATATTTTCACTTTTCAGACCGGCTTTCGAGTCTGGTCATACGGCCAGAGGAGAGGGAACAATCAGATAATTTTTTCTAATGACGATAACATGGGGACTTTCACCATGATTAGTAATGAGTTATCCGCTAACAATTCAGATTTCGCAGCTAATTATCGTGAAGGGATAAAGGAATTTTAAAATCACGTCTACCCACATAGATTACCTATTGAATATCTTTCTTCAGATTATTGTAATTATTGATTTCTGGCCTGGGTCTGATTTCTCGAAACCTGGACTAGTCAAATTTCTCCCCATGTAAGTCGAAACACTGAAAGAGCTTTTTGATTCGATTGAACCCAGTAACATCTTCGACAGCTTTTTCCACTGGAGTGCCTTTCAGTATGCCTCAGTTACCCAGGCAAAGAGTGTGAAATGCTGGGTTGGAAACCTTTCTCAACTGAGCTTAGCACGGATATTTCAACGCCTTTCAAAGTCATACCTATATATTCCCTTCAGGTCAGAAGAGCTTATTTCGAGCCGAAAAGCGGATTCTGTGCTATCTAATGTCATCCAGTTTCTGGAAAGCTATTCGTTCTTAGAATTTTCATTTTCTTTCTGATTGCCCAACATTTAGTTATCTTTCAATCTGTGGACAACTGATCATTTAATGATATCCCGATGACGTGGTGAAACTTTGTCCATTACACCCCCGCTTATTTTCGAATTGATCGATGACGGACATCGGTCACGCATATATTAAAAAAAAGTAAAAATTATTCACCGCGGCGTGACGCGCCGAATGAATCATTTCGCTTCTGATCCACTTACAATTCAAATATAAATGTTTCCTAACGTGATCTCTCGCGTTTAGCGATTACGCAGCAAATTAAGAGAGGGAAATCGTATATGTTCAACCTATTTAGCCATGAGGATCAATATCATCTACCCTTTTGTTCGTTCCGAAGTCTTTCCTCGACTTCATGTAAAATATCAGACCTGCGTTCGTTGATAAGATCTGCCATAGATTCTGGAATTATTCAGTTCAAAATTTTAATCTATAAATGAGATATACCTTTTGAAATTTGCCTTTTCGCTATTATTTTATAAGCCTTATCAAAGTTAAAAAGTATAAAAAACAAAAAACGAGGGATAAGACTGAAAATTACCAAGTATTCGGCTATTTCTCAACACTCAAATGTTTGATATTAGTGATCGGTTCGAAATAAAAAGTGAACATTTTCCATAAACAATCATAGAAGAAAGAGAAAATTTAAAAGATCAAGAGTGTGGCTTGTCATGACCTTTTTTGGTATTTTTAAATAGTGACGAAGTTGTCTGCGTAAGCGAGTGGAACACGAAAAAACATAACAAGCCATGCCAACAGGAAATGATTATAGAGAACTGCCTTTTATCGATGAAAGGAGGGTCTATGTACAGCATATGAACGACATGTAGATTTGTGTTAAGATTAGGAGAATATGCATCTGTAGACGATTTGTAATNGGTAGCTAGTTAGCGGGCCATGCATGCATGTTTTAAAACTTTGGTGAGTCGAAAGTCAACACAACGAGAGAAAATGTAGTGACACTGCATAATTATTCAGGTTTTGAAAGGTTGATAGCCAAACTTGTTCATTAGCTTTCGTCGAAAGCGCAACCCATACTGTCGCTCGTATCGAGGATATGGTGCAGCGATATTGAAACCAGTTTGTTTATTTCGCGTTAAGCAGATCTTCGCGCAATTAACACTTAAATTGTGCATTTTTATGGCTTGGCTTTGCCGATGTACTTTAAACAATGGCCGAAGACCCTGATCAGCTGAAAAACGTCTTGAAAGAGCGAGCCGTAGAGCTGTTCAACTTATGTGACCAAGACGGCAAGGGATATATCACTGAGAGCGAACTACAACATGTTATCGCCGAACTCGGGCTACCTCTCGATGCAAGCCAAGTTAAGCAGACTTTCAATGAACTTGATTACGATGAGAATGGCTACTTGACTTTAGAGGAGTTCACTGCGGGATTTGGTCTGTTCCTGGGTATTCAATCGAATGATGAAGGCAACAACGATTTGAATGAAATCACATCAGTCAGCGATCCCGGCCGGGAGCTGTTCTTTCTCTGTGACCCTGAGGGGAAGGGTTACATCACGAAAGTGGACTTAGAACGGGTTGCTGGAGATTTGAATTTGAATTTCGAGCAGCTTGATTTTATATTCGATAAGCTTGACATCGATAAAAATGGGCGTTTGACCTTGGAAGAATTCGTTGAAGGATTCGGGACTTTTCTCAGCGAAGGTAACGGTTCGACGGAACACGACTCGTCCAAACATGTCGACGGTGATTTGAACGACGAGTTTACAAAGCAAAGCTTGCCTGAAGGGCATGATATATTCGAAAGTTTAGAAACGGGACCAGAATCTCCAAATTATGCCTCAGAAGAAGCGCTCTTTCGAGGAATCGTGGAAAGCGTCGGAGAAGATATATTCTCAGGGTAAATTTACCGCTATAGATTGTCCATTTCAAGTTTAATACATTGACCCATCTTTGATTTATAGTGTCATATGTTGTCGCTACACGCGCTAACTTCTGTATCTTATCAAGCTTACAATAATGTCTAAGAGCTATTACTGTTATTATTTCTTTGAATGTTTTGAGAGGGTGTTTGGGGAAAAGGGCGATTTATGGAAAGGATTATTATTATTTTGTTCAAGTGTCTTGACGTGAATTGTCACGTTGCTTTCCTAAACCCCAGTGGGCCGTTGAAAGGGGTAATGTTTGTTTACATGTTCGCTTCGCACGGGGGTTTTAAATGCAGATTTGTATCGTTTTTTCGAGAAAACGCTTTTACAAGTCTTAACATTTTGTTCTGCATATGGTTTTAAAGGCGCGAGGCGATTAGCATACCAATAAAATCATTGTTAACAATAAGAGGTAAACTGAACGGTAGGGTTTTTGTAATTATTCAAAGTTCCTAAGTAAACAGTTTTATTCCTTCGCTTTCTGTTAAACAATGGTGGCTGTACTTTTGCTTTTCTGCTTATCGAAGAAAGCAATCTGTCTGTCTAGTTTTATCGTAGGACTCTAATTCCGACGCGATATGCTGTTAACAAGTTTTCCACAAAGGAATTTTTGTCTTTCGGTCCATGAAATAGCGACGAAAAATATTTATTTTGTGCGCTGAATTTTTAATTAACTGTTGCATTTTTAATTTTCGTGGCCGAATTGGTGGCACAAGTCATACAATTTGATTTAAAATCCCTGTTCAGATAAACAAATCGTTTGCACCTGCCCATCTTGCTGACTAAATTGCTCATCCCGACATATTTTCAAATTTTTTTACCAACAAAGTAATTAATCACTAATGCCAATATCTTTTTAAACGATTAAATTTAATTTAATTTTTGATCCGTTTAGCGTGTATATCGTTAATTAGACATGTTTCCAATTTACGGTTTGATCTTTATCACACAGGAGTCTGACCAAAGATCAGCTGCGAGATCTGTGGGAAGCTCTGAGGAAAAACGATGTCCGAGGATTGCAAAAGTTCGAGGAATTTTTGGGAAAAGTTTGCGGCGAGATAAGACGAGCGAAAATTGATTCGGAGCAACTGGAATCTGCTCTTAAAAGGTAAAGTGAGCATATACTTGTTAATTTTACATGTTTGATTTACCGGCCAGCCAAACATTAATGTTTGGCAAGCGATTAAATTTCCCTATAGCCGTTGCATCACATGCAGCAACTGCACTTGGCTGTTACATGTAATTACCTCAAACATTGACTGTTTCGTCTAGGAAGTTCTAATTCACGGGAGATGCAGTTATTTTCAGCACATTTTAATTTGATTTCAATTGAATAATATTAGGCAACAGTTTAGCCTCTTTTCGTAATTCTTAATATACTTGCTCTGTTTTATGCTTATTGTATTTACTGCAATAGTGTTTTCATTGTTAATCCATCTATAGATAAATCCTGTACTTGTAAACTGTCCTTAGATCTCCCCGCCTTAATTAGTTCATAAGCTATTTGCGGGGAGAAACCAATGTACTTAGCTATATTTCTAATCTTAAATAAATTGTTGTTGTTTTTTAGTAAAATGATACTTTAAAATACGAAGGGTGCCTCTCAAACCACAGTGATGAGGTAGTGAATATTCTTTTCTAATGAATTGCTCTGTTCTCAAAAATAACTTTTGATGAAAAACCTTGGGCATTTCCAGTTACCATTGAGTATAAAATGACAATCCAATAAAATATATGAACAAACAAATAAAGACAACTCGCAAAGTGTCTATCAGGTACCTCAGATTATAATTTTAATTTTTATTATTACATGTACTGTAATTAATATTGTTAGTATCAATGTCATTATTGTCATAGTTATTATTATTTTCATTTGTGGAGGAAGTGGTTGAATTGGTAGATCATACACCTCCATTGTCCTCCAGGAATTGTTCAATAGCCACTCGCAGAAAAGGATGAAGTTTATTTCAGATCAGGATGAATATTTTACTTTTTTTACTATTTTGTAATTAAAGTGGCTAACCCTTTCAAATGAGTAGCAGATAAAATGGTGGGCCACCAGGGCTTGAGATAAAGACTGACACATCCCAGTTGAAATATTGTGAGCTTGCTCAACAGTGTAGAGGTTTATGTTCTCAAATGCCTCT